CCTGTATCCATCCTGTATCCATCTATCCAACCATCCATCCTGTATCCATCCATCCAACCAACCATACTTCTTTGCACCCATCCGTCTTCCACCCTGTAATTTTCATTCTGAATGGATAACATGGTAACCAGTATTGGGTGAATGTTAGGGGACCCATCAAATCATCGATTCGTTAAAAGTGCAGGCCTTTGTCCTTTTTCAATGTTGATCGAAGCTCCCGTCGACTGTACCGTAATTTTCGACCATAAAACGTACCGAGAATCGCACTTCTTTCTCCAACCCCGACAACTGACACCCACATTTTATTTACCCGACAACTGAAATGCCACCGCCAATATTGAACCCTGAACTAGCTTCCAGAAACGCCCATTTTTTCGAAGGGATAAGGAAGTGAAGGTGTTAACGGGTTGAGAAATAAACAAATACCCCCTCCAATTCAGATGTGTCAAGCTGGTTCCTCAGTGCTTGTCCATTTATGCCAGCACTTGTTTAATCAGCAGCCTCCCAGAAAACCTAAGTGTGTTACAAGGAGGTAAGATAAACACACCAAGGTATATCATTGCGAACGTTACCCTACCAACTGTTTATACCAGTCACATTATCGTCATGGGGTAAACACAATTAACAGTTGAGGTGATGTTTATGTGGATGGCATCTTGAAGTCAATATCGCCGTGGCATCAACCACCAAATAAAATGGCCTTTCACACCGGGAAAAGTTTCCAAGCTAAAGAGGTGTCAGTGGGTGAAACCTTGTAAGAGTTATTATGAATTCTACCCCAGATAATTACTTTTAATTCTAGGCGCTTTACTTATTACAAATAAGTAGACTATCTACAGCTCGAAAACTATATTGTGGTTTTACTTTATTTTGCAAATCCTTTTGTGAGTAATAAAATCTTTTAGTGAAATAGAAAAGAAAATTATTAAACGATCTTTTATCAAGGTGAGAAGGCACCTGACCTTATCGTTAGAGCTGTCTCTAGCAGATCTCAAATATTCGCAGTTTCTGCGTCTTTAAGAGAACCCACTGACTTCGCATCAGTCTGATTTAAGTATATTTTGTTGCTCAATTGTTAGAAACCCTTAACTTTACTAAATATATTGTCACGTGACTTAGATCCAACCTTACAGCAGCTGTTCCACTTTGCTGTCTCATTTTCCGGCTTCCATTTAACAAATGCGAGCACTGGGAAGACCCATTAATTTACCCAAATCCCATTCTGCCTTGTGAACGCAAAACACGAGTCTGGAGGGATCGTTCGAAATCAGCATCGCTTCCGGGGCTCTGCTGAGGTAGGCTGCGACAATCAGTCAATCACAGTTAGACAGCTAATCTCAGTCGATACCCGCCTTCTGTGACCTCCAGACAAAAGGATTTAAAGCAGTCCTCCTTTGCATTTAACCATTAAACACTGCGACAAGTAGCTTGCATGAAAGCGCTGCAAAATCTGGATATAACTTGGTCGGGCGCCAGCGCAGGCATCTTGGTTGTGACCGAACTTGCGGAGACCCATTCGCCCAGATAGGCAAGCAGATGAATCAAACAAGTGCCCTTCTTCACGACTTTTTTGTCTTTATACGAATGTAGTGCCTCGCTGTTAGAACATCAGGCATGGATAAGTGAACAAAAAGCGAGGCACCCGATTGCAGAAATTTAACAACAAAATGTAGATCAACTCCCACACTCAACCATGATTGGCTGGGAAGAGATTGATTCAAACAATGGCCGATTGTTGATACGTTGCCAAGTACATCTGCTACTAGTGGCAACAAAGAGAGGAGGCAAATTCTCTTAAACTCAAAGTCAGAACCTCATTGGATTGTCAAGAAAATGGACGGAAATGAGTTCCTCAAACAACTGGCGGATGTGCAATGTCGAAATGTCCTTCTCGAGGAAAAGGTGGGTTATACTTACTTTTTTTTAAAAAAATCCTGCCTCTACATTTGCTTTCTGCAATAACTTCATAATCAGAAAATAATTGATAACCTGGGAATTTTTTTGGTTTTTTGATTAAAGTTTGTATTCACTGTGCATGATCTACGTATCTTTACGGTATAAGAAGGGTAGAAATATGCATCCGAAATGCTAAAAATTTGTCATAATTTGCGGCACACTTCAACATAAGAAACATGTCATTGTTTAGAGGCTCTTGCAATATCGATCTCTCGGTTCGGTACGGTCTGCCTCCCAATTTAAACCCATGCCACATTTGAAGACCTCGGTTGAACAAGACCGATAGGTGAACCACGGGACGGTGTGCACTACAGGAAATGCTTGGCACGATCTCATAACTGCACAAGCTAACCACCACCCGCCTGTAAGGTTCGCTGCGCGGCGTCCGCAGAAGGAGTGGTGGGCGACATCCCAGCAAACCATAAGAAAAAGGTTTAAACACCTGTAAAAGCCGGTTTCGGATTCGAGCCACCAGAAGATGTTGCAGGAGGGTCATTCCTTTTCGACGAGAATGTGTAAAGAATTACATTCCATTGTTGACATACGTAGCAGTAATGGAGACTGACGTGTGATAAATAACTTGCAGTAATGCTTAATTTGAAGATTAGGGTCTGATCGGCTTCAATGAAACAGGTTTCCAAACAGTTACCCGCCACTTTAAAATTTGTGGAATTAGAATTCTTAAGATAATTAAGCAGAGGGCAGTTTTTTGGTAATTTACGTAAATATCTAAATCACTTAGTAAAACAAGAGTGGGTCATGGGAAAGTTTATAACTTAGCCTTAGGTGTTTATAAAAGGTATTTCGATATGATCAATACATATTTTAACGAAAAACAATGCCATTTAACTATTTGAGAATGGCATTTAAGGCGTTTTATCATTTTTGCGTTTTATTTAAGCGAATGAACAATGGCCTGGTACAATGGAGAGCTATTTAGCAAGTGGAATGTAAATCATTTCGTAAAGTTTTGCATGTACCCTTAGCTTAAAAGAACATCTTGAAAGAAATTGTTTACAAATCAAAAGGTACTATAGCGTGCCGAGTCATTCCTGAGGCCGTAGTAGGGTGACAGAAGGTAGGTTGCTGACCCTCAGAAGAGCAGGAGCTATGGCCACAATCCGAAGGCCACACCATTAGGCGGAAGTACAATTTGCAGCCTTGTGTGCCCACTAATTCGAGTGTAGAGGTAAATATACTTTCGAAATAGCCCAGAGAAACCGCGTCTTTTAAGCCCCCTCCCACCTCAAAATCCGAAACACCTACGATCCAGCAGGTTCCAGTCATCAGATTTGCGTACAAATGAGACTATACCTGACTGCGACATCTGTAATCCCTCTTGACGGTCTCACTGAATCTGGAGATTGGCCCTGTTTGGAAACTTTATTATAGGAAAGAGCAATGTGGCGATCATCTTCTGTACGCCCAAAAGCAAACTCATGCAACAAGGGTCGGAGTTAATCATAGTTCCATGGGGACAAGGGTTTGTGTCTCCTTGCCCTTGCTCGAGCTCTATCCAGTTAGTAGAGTAGTGGAGAAGGTGTCACGTGTTCAGTTCATGGCCGCCTTCATGCAGGTATCATCGACAACTCCGTAGCGAAATGTTTCAGATGGTTCACGGTTAGTGTCACTTCAGTTGCTAACAGCTTTTCTACTGACTAAAAGACTGGAGTAGGTCCCAAAGGGAAGCCATCATTTTCAGACCTTCCCTTAAGGGTCATCACAGGTCTCCCCATCCACAGCATTTGTGCTTCTTCCCTTCCGTTAAAGTTTAGCATTCATCAATAAAATTTGGGGTAGTTGTACATTGAGGTCACATTTACTTGCCATTGCCATCACGTAACACCCCGCTTCCCACCTGACGTAATAAGAAGTCTTAGTGGTATGATAGAAGTTATGTATGTAAAGTACAGACGAGCTAAGGCCATCGGCATGACCCAGAGGCCATATCGCTGAGAGGAAGTACAGCTTACAGAGAAGGAGTGCCTGTCTAGCTGAAAACTCAATCAAATTAATTAAAGGAGTGTCTATTGTTTTACTACACGCACCACAAAGTACTCAGCCGCGCAGTACGAAGCTGAGTGCCTTCAGAAAGACCTTCAGCGCAGCCAATCAGAAGTGGCCGACTTGCAACGCTCACTAGAGGCGGCACAACTGGAGATTTTTGACCTGAAATGCACCGCCTACGGCAGTGGAGGTAACAATGAGGAGTTGCGGGCTCTTCAAGCTGAGAGTGCGGCCACCATTGAGGAACTACGGCAAGAGAATCGCAATGCCCGAAGAAGGGTAGCCGAGGTGGAGGCGGAATTCAGGTATCCACCTTGCTAAGGGCTGTTGATAAATCAAGTGACTTTATAATTCCTGGATTTAAAAGAAGCCTGACAGATATGGAGCCACTTGTTGGAGCCTAGATCCTGTCGAGATGTAGACTTCAACACCGTAATCTCCAGTGCCGAGATATCTGAATAAATCCTGGGTGGGGGTGCAGAGCGGGACGGGGCTAGAGTGCGCGTAAGTAACAACCGCGGACTAAAAGATAGAGACTGGGGAGAGACCTTATACTCGCACATTTACTGGATCTCTAACGGCCTTAACACCACAGTGCTCATTAGCACTGTCGCGTCCCAAGACTTCCCTGAAGACGAAAGAAGAGACAATACTCGGGCGGAATATATATATATTCAGCACAGACAAGGTATCTGGGCTACTGGCATGGTCCGAAGGCCAGCCCACCCAGGGAGGTGCAAGAGAGGGCTAATTCAAAGTACACAAGTCGCACCTCGCCAATCTCAAGGGTTAAACCGCCATCGCATTACAGCACACAAAGGTCAACCTGACCTTGAGGATAACCAATCAGGAGGCGCGGATGGGAGCGCACATTTTAAGATGCTTTACAATGAGGGTAAAAGGCGCAAAAAGACAGGAATTTTTAGATGAACCAAGAAAAAAAGGCATTTTCTAAGGCCACAGGTATCTTTAGCACTTTTGCCCCCAACTTCTTTTATTTTCCACTGACTTTGTGCACAATCACTGTGACTATGTGCTGCCAAGAAGTGGTGGCATTCATCACTTAAAGATACATGCTCAGGCGGGGTGTGAGATCTTATGATATTCCGTTAAGTTTGCGCCGAATTATCTTAATTTTGTGATTCTGACCCTTTTCAGAAAAAGAGAAAGATTATTAGCAATTCTTTAGCCGCCACAGTGGTGTGGAATAAAGCAGTTCCTTTTAAGTTAAAGCTACGCCACTACTTCTGTTGATAAAGGTTCACTTTGCTTCCTCGTTATCACTTCATCCCTAACTACCACTTTTTTTGCAAAAAGATTACTGAAGGAGTCGCAAAATACCTCTCTTACTCCTTTGATTCAAGAAGACTTTAAAAAGCAACTCTCCGAGTGGAAACGACGGCTGGGGTTACGCTCCTCTGCGGAGTTGGATGAGGTATTTAATGGGGTGAGTTAAGGGAATGTGTTGTCTGAAATCCAGCGGTAATGAACCACTTTGCAAAGCTTTCAGCATCTTGCACCGGGTGGTGATAGATCGCGTCGGAGAGGCTTCTTTAGCACATTTTTTGGCCTTCTTCTTCTAGATAAATGATCGGCTAGACAGAGCCCTCACGTACGAGGTTAGAACGAATGAGGCAGATTTTGCCCAACAGGAGCTGAAGAACCAGCTACGAGAGTCCCACAACTCCGCCAGCGAATTGGCCAATCGGGTTGAGGCTCTGTTAGCTGAGAAGGAGGCACTCAAACGGGTACGTGGATATTCATTCCACATTTGTCATAGAGGGCTCAACTACCCCTTGATAATGTTGTCGTGCCTGGGGCTATGGACTGGTCAGGAGCCACAGGAGTAGTAACACCTACGGAGATCGAAGTGTCCGCGTAATCGACTGCCCCGATTAAACGAATCCCAATTCTTGGAAAAATCCCTTTTTGAAAGAAAAGGGAATAAAATCGTCACGAATTTAGATTTCACAGGACAAGAGGGTGGTGCGGACATCAACTCGTCGTTACCTGAAGTGTGTAACCAACTGACAGCAGTAATAAGGTCATCTCGTTTAACCCCGCCACCTCATCATCCTAACACAAAAATCTCTTTCTAAAAATTCTTTTTCTCCATCAAAAAATTCTCTTTAATACTGCTGCGTTGCTAGATTCTACCTGGGGAGCATTAAATGGCAACTACCACCTTTTCAAGGACCAATTCGTTTCCCATGGAGGCGGAGCTTCTAGGCTAACATATTATAAACAAACTTACTACATTTTGGCAAATATGAAACCAGAGAAACACCTGAATCACGAATGACTCCTTTCTTTGCCTCTGACATTTCCCATCACTCCTGAACTGCTCTTTTACTGGAATCGGAGGGTAGAAAAATGCCACGCAAAATTACCACAAAATCAACAACCTTCCAGACAGTATAATGTCCTGTATTCACGATGAAAGGTTGACAGTTAAGGTGCTTTTCCATCGCCTCTGAATGGTTTATTTCAGGAGGCGGGTTTGTGGAACACGGAGAAGCTCGATCTCATGGCAACGCGGGGTCTGCTGGAGCAGCGAGTCACCGCCTTGGAGCGGCAATTGGAGGAGGTGCGTGAAAAGCTTGTTGCGGAAACTGCGGCGACAAGACAGGTGCGCATGGAGAGTCAACAATTTCTTCTGGAAAGGAACTCGCAGACGGTGCAATTTAATGCTCTTGTGTAAGTCCACCTTTTTGTCGGCACCGAGGGTTGTCGGACTTCGGGCTCACCTCCGGAGTTGTGGCAAAGACTCCCCTGAGTCCTGCAGCCTTATGGGAAAGGACTAATTAACACGGTGGCTGAAAAGGGGTTGTCGTATATCCACATGTTTGGTTTGTTGCAAGTTATTTCAGCCATAAAGGTGGTGCGGCCATTGGGAGGAATAGTCGCACCTACATTCCGCCGCGATTACCGATGACTTTGGACCACATAAATCACTATCCACTCGGTCTATAAATAAACATGGGAAAGTAAATAAACACGATGGTATGAAGCTCATGAAAAGGTGAAGATTTGCCAGTTGATTGTCCTCCTACCCCATTGTCCGTCAACTGTTGATGCACAGCGCGTGGATGGCGCCCAGTTGCCTGGCAGTCTTTCCCTATTTACTTTTCCCTCCGTATGAAATGCAGGTGTGAATCACATGCTTCACCACTTACAAAGGTGAACCCCTCTGAAGGCCACGTTTTTCATGTATTTCATTATCGCCCTCGGCACAGGGAGAAAAGATGTCCACCCAGTTGATCCGTCGATTTGGTGATTGTCACTGATATTGGGGAGACCGTCCGCTCAGCTAATATTCCCTCGATTGTAGGGAGTCTCTGGCTGCGACTCTGAGCATTGTTGAGTCTCCCTGTGCACCAACGGAGGCCACCGTCAAGGAGAGGGTGACAAGGCTGACCACTGAGCTGCAGTCACTTAAAAAGGTAACTTGGAGAATTTTATTTAACAGGCGCAAGGGATAGTGATCGCATATGGATGGGCTACGTTTGCTTAGAGTCTACTACAGCTTTTTCACCTCCTCTTCTCGTCTTCTTTACGCATTATCAATAACGGGAGATCTTTCGGACTGTGTAGCCAGTAGATTTGAGCCCTGGCGTGTAAGGTTTAGGGAGCCTTCTTTCATGCAGTAGAAAATCGTTCCCAACAATTAAGTAAGACATGAAATTATCAAAAAATCAAATTAATTGCCCACTCTATTATAAATGCTTAGGTAGAATCGGACTTGGAGAAGAAGGTTGAGCATTTGAACAAGCAATTTGAGTTTCAATTCACCAACGGACAGGCACTGGCCGATGAATTGAACACGTTGAAGTGTGAGCTAGAGGGCGCGCACAAGGCAAAGGAAAGGTTACAGTGCGAGTTGGATGGATTTCGGTTGATCAACAGTCAGAAACAACTCACCCAGCAGGTCTGTTCAGCCGGCTAGTTATCTCGGCAAATTGTGCTACTTATGCATTATAAGTAGGAACATCCGGACATGATTGCTTGTTTACGTTGAAAAAATAGGCGTCTGGAGAGATTTTTTTTAGAAATTTTGATCATTGAAAACATACTAGAATATTTGTTTTTATGCTTTATCTGTAAGACGACACTTGAGGTGGTGGAGATACTACCAGAAGTGTGGGATGAACTTGCAAGCACTTTAATTGAGGATAATAAGCCGCGTTTCAAAATAAGATTTGTGGGAATCAATCACAACAGATGCAATTTGCAATGTTTTTCTTACAACTTATTGACATAGAATCTCGGTAAAGTTGTGGAGCTCTGTGATAAGCTACATATTCAAGTCGGGCAACACTCTCACTCAGCGTTAATCGAGTTAATAGCGAGTAAGTAAGCTACTATAATAAGATTTCTTTTTAAAAGCAAATTTTTTATACAAGCAACTTCTTCCAAGGTAAAGTGGCAGACCTCCTTGATAATGGCTGCATTTCACCAGATTGCATTCAGAGATCCACTGTCTCCAAAAGTCACCCAAAACATCTCTGCATAGAAACGAGAAGTACTCAGCATAATTGCATTCAGAAGCATAAGTAAGTTTGCACAACTAGTCCTTGTGTTCTATTTTGTTTCTTCCCCTAAATTTACATTAAATTAATTGTTTGTGTAAGTTCACTTATGGAAAACTTGTGTTACTTTTAACTACAAAAGAGACCTGTATTGTTCCTAATAATTTACGTATTTATATCTCCAGTTTTTTTCCAGCAAGCCAAAAAATTTTTATTTTTGAGTTGGTTCTTTATTTCGACTCGTCACCTTGTCACTCATTTGAATTCTGGGTACTGTCCACTTGAGTGGCGGCTCCGGTGTGGGGGGGAGTCAGCTGAATTTAGCTAAGGCGGAACCACGACTAAAGGAGGGTAAAGCACTAGGGGCCTCAAATTGGCAGACCTGGGCTGTAATTAACGGGCCGTAGTTAGTAGCCAATGTCAATCTGTGCATATAGTTTGGATTCATCGACCAGTGTTTTTGCTGAATGATTGGCATTAACGCGTAGCACTTAACCTCATAACCTATGCAGTCAGGCTTAATTCGAGTCACTGGCAAATACAAGCAATGGCAGGAGCTGTCTTCTTTTAAATCACGCCGTAAATCTACACACGGCTCAAGAGTAACGTTAATCGGGCCAGTCAGTTACAGTTGACGGATTAAAACAGGACTAATCGGATAGAAATGGCCTTCAGATCATTAGCAAGGCATAAGCGGCCAGGGTTTTTTTGGTATCGGATCACCAATAGTAGGGCTTTATGCTACTGGCGTTCAGATTGTGGTATTAGACCTCTACAAAGTCGTGTGAAAGGCAAATTTGCAACTTGACGTCCATGAGTGGTCAGTGTCACCAGGTCGTGGTGCAAATTTAGCCTTCTAAATGTCGCCGTATATAATTTCACTGACGAGATAACTGCGCGTCCACCTTTCTGTGTCCTTGAGGGTACTCTCAACAAGATGTATTTGCTCAAAAAGGAGAAAAATGCTTGAGGTTATTTTGCTATGTAGATTCAAAAATGGCAACAACGATTGTCCAAGCTGCGTTCACCTCCAAACCACCCCTCTGGACTTGGCCAATCGCGCACCAGACTGGAGTGACCTTGAAGTGAGAAGGGTCCAGCATTTGTGCGCTGAGTGCCTGCTCTGTTTGGCAATGGCTTTGCGGCATCGCTTGCATGCAGTCATGACGGTGGCCCCGGACAGAGAGAAACTGGAGAAGGAGTTGGTGGGCGAATTGGAGAAGGCAAAACGCGAGATGGAGGAGATGCATGAGAGAGTCATGAAAATGGAGAATGAAAAGGTAGGTCAAAAAAGTCTGCTAGTGATCCCTCATGGATAAAATGTGGGGTGACATCTTCACCATCGCTATGAGAAAGGATTGAGGAAATGTTAGGATTTTAAATACCGTCGCACCCTCATCCACTTTACTATCCTGACTTTGTGAAATGCAATCACTTACAAGGAATTAAGCCAGAACTTTTTTTGTTTATATCGCCAGAGTGAAGAATACGAGAAATTGGAACAGATTGTTTCCAAGTTGGAGGCCTTGAGGCAGCATCAGGCAAAGAGAATCGCCGGACTGCAGTCAAAAACACAACGACAGAGCACTCTGGAGGCACAGAAGGATCAGCAGCTTAGTGCAGCAAAGAATTTCCTCATCGAAAATCGGCAGAAACAGCTACGAGTGAGGGACTATGTTGTTCTAGTCGATTATTAACTGTTAAAAATGCATTATATCTGTACACCAATAAGCAAGTCGCTTTACGTAATCAATCGGATGTAAAATAGCCAAATACCTAATTTTTATTGGTTTATTGTACTGCTTATACTCTGAAGTGACCAATGGAATGGTAGGCAATGATATTATAAATTTCAACTGAATTCTTTAACATTTTTATGCTTTTATGACCCCAAAGTTACTTTTGAAGCATATAAGACGGCGAATGAGGGAATTGGGCTGCCTGTCAGTCAGCAATTAATCAACCCCTCCCTTTTGATTTCCTGTCTGCTCTAACCATCCGTGGGACGGAGACAAAGATCAAATTATGCTTTTCTAGCATGGCGAAGATAATTCTCCGTTAATTAGCTCCGATGCATTCGTCTTTCACTTTCCATACCTTTGGGAATTCATTCGCTGCCTGATGACTAAAATTGGACATGATGCCTCCAATCGGGGCGGTTGGCGGTCCAATCGCTAATCGTATGAAAAGTAGAGGGTAGTATTATTACCAAAAGGTCTGTACCCACTTTTTTCTTGATTCCCTTTTTACACTGTTGGTTAGGCATCTAATTTGTCGCTTCCACATCATTTCGGTTAGCTCACGACCTGTTCAAGCCTACCCCGCCTGTATTTTCAGCCATTCAGAAGGACATGGATTTTGGGGAATGCTTGAAATGGACACGATTTTGACTGCACCTGGAGATTACAGCATTGCACTCTGCTGCATTCATTCACCTGTAATAAGGCCTGGATGAAAGGCTTTTGTGCGGAGGACTTTGTCAATACGACTCAACCACCTCGTGCTGGAACCGCCTGCTTCACCTTGTTAGCGGTGTTTAAAGGAACCTATACAAGTCCCTCCTACTTAGCGACATATCCATAAGGTCCCGCAGTCCTAATAAGTCATGGCTCCTGCTGTCAAGACGCACCTTTAATTCAATAATTAAGCTGCCGGTTTTTCTTGAAGCGAGAGCCCAATGCTATAGCACATGGAAGGCAGAACGCCAGAAGTCCCAGTTTGATATGAGCGCTCTTTATTAACTGGGACACATCTTCAATCATTGGGTTGACGGATAGAAAGCTATCTTATAAATGAGGTGTTTTTAGTTGCTAAATTTTAGAAACACCCTGGGCCGAATTCTTGGTCTGGATGCTTGGCTCACGCCCAACCCAGAGGCTTTGATAATTCAACGTGTTCAGCAGATTCTGTTGAACGCCTCAGCTCCAAGCAGAACGCTGTTTCTAACACAACCGTTTGCTCCATTCTCGTTGCCACAGCCGACATTTGCCGCTCCACAACTTCCCGCCTTACCAGGACCAAGCCGTGAGAGTCAATTGTGCTGATAGATGGGTGGAAGAATACGAGATGGATGAATGGTTGGATGAATTAATGCATGGATGGATAAATAGACAGATAGAAGGAATGAGGATGGATGGAGTGATGAAGGGACCAACTGAGAAACTAATGACAGCCATATAACCCTAACAAAATTCCTAATTTTAGATGAACTGCAGGAGGACGGAGTGACGGGAGTCCAAAATTCACCAACACAAAGTGGGAAAGTGAATCTCAAAAACCCAAAAACGGACTTGAATGTACATCTTGTACCTCGCAGATCTGCAGCCTGCACAAGATCCCAGTCGGCGAGGGGAAGAGATACGCGGAAATACTAACTCCTTTCCGACCGTCTATACGATAAAAAATTTAATTCTAGTAGATCGTCTATTGTAAAAGAACCCAAACAGCGCGCAACTAGTTGATTTCCTACTCCCGACTTATTATATCTATTAAACTACCACTGAATAGAAATGTTTCCTTGCTGCGAGGATGAGTAAACCTCAATAGCACAGAAAACAGATTAAAACACGCTTAAAACTGTGCTTTTATATTCGTGGTGGAGCAATTAAGTTCCTGGTGTTAGATTCGATAAGTGAACTATGTAGATAGCCCTAATCTTTTCAGGTTATTTTGAGTAAAGGTAAGTAAAAACGCAAATTTTAAGAGCAGCCATGGTTAAGCAAAGCTCGTTTTAAGGTAGAATGTATTGAGGTGTTTCTTGTACCAAAAGTGCTTGAGTATATGCGTTCTTTATCATTTGAAAGTGAGTTTGTTTAACAAACACATAAAAAAGCGAATCTAAACCTTTTGAGCGCATGTATTACTTGACTACTTACTTAAATCTCGGCTATTGGGAAAGTTGCCACTTCGGTGCTCCGCCGCCGAAACTTCGCCGGGCGAACCTTCCTTCCGGCTATGCCATTAACACTATATTCTAACTTATGTAAGGTACATTTGGTCTGCTCAAGGTTTTATGCTTCTCCATCTTTGGAGAAGTCTCTGGGAGCAGTAATTTAATTCTATCTGATAAGAACTTTATTTTGGTCATAATAGGTCCGCACTTTAATAGATGAAGCGTTTTAACAATTTTTTAATTGTCTGCGGGTTTGTAAAGCCGCTTCTGCTATAAGAAAGAGTGTTTTAAACCTACCTAAACTTACGAGCAGTTTGTTTAAATATCCGGTAATGTCTGTCTACTAAGGTCGTAGCCTGCGCTTATGGCCTTTTCAAGGTTAAACGCGTTGAAGTTGCGGGTTCCGGGGCCATGCGCTTTCTTGCTTCACTTGAAAATGCCTGTTAACTGACCTGTTAATAAATCATCCCATTCCTTCCCATGACCAACCCAACTATTCGTGTTTTGCGACGTCCCATTCAAGTCATCCAGACGAATGAGGAGAATGTTTTGTAAGTGTTGGTGTCCTACCCTCTATTTTACACTTTCCCTGTGCGTCTATCTCATTCATCCAATTTTAGGCCTGCAGTTCCGTCAAAAACTTTGGAAGAAAGGGAAGCTCATTATGCTTCCGTTCGACGTAGGATAATGGGAGCTGAATCAGTTAATATTTCAAGTGATTCGGACGAATTTATCGATTCTGACATCTCTCTGTACGATAGCCTGCTTGATGACCATCAAGGGAATTCGGACGATACGGAAAAGGTTCAAAATCTGAGCCAGAATACGGTAACTACGACGACATCTTTGCCATCGCCGTCAGTTGATACTTCATCCACGAAGGCCTCTATTCCTGCATCCACCGCTGTTCCTCTGATGTCGATTCCCACGGCGGCACTGTCTTTTCCTACTTCGTTGGAGCGCGATAGCCATGCTTTAAATTTTATTTTACCTTCTCGAATGCATCAGGTGCCTCTTTTGGGTGCCCCCCAAAACTCTTCTTTGTCGTCGCAACATCGTCATTCGGATATACCGCTGTCGCGAGGGTTCGCTTGTCCAACAAAAATGTTTAATCCTCTCTCTTCGGCCCGGGTTCCACCACCGCAGCTGCCTCGGTCGCCGCTTACATCCGCGCTTCCTCAATCACCTGCCAAGCCGCTTAGTGTGCATGATAGCCTTCTGCGTCAGTATCAGCTGCTTAATTGGCAATTACTCCATCAGTCATTTCAGCAGTCGCTACAGCAACAGCAGCAAAACCATTTACACCATCAGCAACAGTCATTTCTGCCACCTCCCCTAGCCTATGAAAGCGGAATTTATAATCACCACAACTTTAAACAGGGGATTCTCCAGGGTCCTAACTTCTTCCAGCCGTCGTCGAGGTAGTAGCTCTGTGTTTCTCTGCGGTGACCTCACCCAATTTTGGAAATACACAACTCCATTTAGATTGATTTTGTTGGTTATTTTAATCCCTGTCTTCATTTTATTTGCGATTGTTGCTGTTTGTTTACGGTTAAATGCTTCGCTCACTAAATGTATCGAGTCTATTTGTGCGTACAGGTGTGTGTATGTGTGGATGAGGTCATAGTAAGGTCAATGCGAATGAAGTTAGTGATTGTGGCGGTGAAAGTCGTCACCACGGTTGACTTTTTTTCATGTTCCTTTTGTGAACCATCTTGGCCCGTTTTGAGTCCGGGCGTGCGTATGCCCTATTGGTCACGATTTTGCCAGCCAGGAGTCACGACGACCTACTGATTGTGCGATGATGGCTCTACCACGACCCAGCCCTCGAGGTGGATCTCAGGCCATCATCTCGTACCATAGCAGCGTCGGTAATGCTATTGGATGCTCTATCTGCGGATTGGAGCCCGCTTGGCCACGCTACTTGCTACCTCAGTTTTACTACAGGTCGGGTGTGGCCAGGTACACCGTCGAGGCTCCAATAAACTATCATCAGTCCACAAGTGGCGCCACTCAAGAACCAAAAAGCGTGGTTATTCTTTCCAAACCAGAGCGTATCGCATTTAATTGCACAATTTGGTGCAACCATTTATTGCACAGGCTAAGAGAGAGAGAGTGCACATGACGCGGTTGGCGTACCCGCTAGTCTTATTTCATAACAACTTGTTACCTCTTAATATAGGATCAGAAGGACTAAAAAAAGCAAAGTTGTGGCGTGATGCAAAACACCGACGCCATGGCAACACTGTCAACTAAGAGTTTATAGCTCAGCTCATCGGTATGGCTCCCTTGTAGTAAGCAAGCTATTACCTCTCCTCGCCTCCATGTGTGGGGATTTGGCTTGTGACTGGGTTAATGTCATCAGGTGGATGGCTCTCTTCCCTCCGTCTTCCTCATCAAGCTGGATTTGGGGTCATCTCGCAATGTTAAAGAGGTCAGAAAATTTGGGTTCAAATGAACATGCAGGTCGACTGAACAGGAAGATGGCAAACTTTAAGGGGGACATGTCAGAATAAGCAGGCCTCAGGCTTTCATAGTTATGCAGGAGGATCGACTGCCGTGTGTGAGGGGATAAACTCACCCAGTGTTTGGTTTTGGTGTCACCTCGGCGAGGGCGAGGAGGCGGGAGGAGACCAACTCATTACCCTCGCACCTCCCTTGAAGGCCAAGATCTCCCCCCCCCCCCGTCTACGGCGGATACGACCTCGGGCTGCCCACCATCGATCAAGCCGCCTTGAGGATATTCAAGTCATTCAATATGCCATTTGACGCTGTTCTGGAGTTAAATGAGTGCACAATCGGTCGGTTGAACCTGTTCCATGCAACAGTGGAAAGGCACGGTCACCTCTTTTTGTCCGCGTATGTGTGGAGGGGAGACGAGGTGACCTTTTTCACACAACCGCGAGATGTACAAGATGATGAAAGAGAAGAAGGAGCAAAACTAAATGTAGCCTCACGTGAAGGTCTCACAATGGCAAGCTCATGAGCGCACGCACATACACACGTAGGCAGGGGTGAAATGGGTGTGCGGTGGTGCCCGCCCCCTCCCACACTTGTGGAACACAGCATAAACTGCTTTCCTCTAAGAGAGAGACTTGTGGAGTCACTTTAATTTAAGCTTGCCTTGTTGTCCTTGTGTGCACCTGTCACATGCATGGGAGAGGAGTAGAGGGTGACGTGGGGGTGGGTTGGCATGAGCGCATTTCGCTGCCAGAGAGAGGAAAGGCAGCAACCCTGGCGCAACTGGAAAAAAATTCATGCCTTATTGATTACAGGCACTAAAGTTATTGATTATTTTGGCTTGGCAACGAGGAGACTTCTTCTTCTGGAGGTTGATCCATCAAAGCGCTGCTAAAGGCATGTCCTTTCTTTCATTATTTCCTTTCAGAACCTCTTAGTGTCTTCATAGTAGTGCAGACAAATGATACAGACAACAGAGCCTTGAGGCCAAATTGGCAAGTGTGTTCTTGATACTCGTTGCTCAAAATTTTCGCATTTTTCTGCCAAGGGAGTGTAGATGAGTGTGAATCATAGGTGAGTTAATTGAAATTTATAGCAGTCGTGGTAGTTGGAGGAGTTGAGTGTGCGACGGAGTTGGTGACACGTGGTAAAAGCGTTTCACTTACTTTTTGAGTGGAAGAAGGTGAAATTAGCTGTGCTGGTGAACCACTTTACTGCTAGTCCAGCCACATTTGAAGTGACGTGCAGCAAGGTGGACAAATATTGCCATAGAGATAAAGAGAATGCTTTGGATACTTACCTAAGCAAGTGCCTACCTGCGTACGGAAACCAGCAAGTCCCCCTTAAAAAAAGATATTGATACTAAAAAAACTAAAAGGATGTGATAATAGGAAAATAGGACAAGGATTAGAGTACATAAACCCTATCGGAAAAGGTGATTCAGACAAGAGGAGGTGAAACTACAAAGGAATCACTGACAAAGTGAACAAATGTTTGTGAAGAAAGCCAGATGCAGATTAAGGAACTTTTTAAAAGTGTCGGATAGAAACAGAGAAGAAAGTGAACATTACATTCGATTTAATAATTATTTATAAAAACGGTTATTTTGCTACATAAGAAAATAAATTAGTAGCCAAACAAGTCATTCAGAAAGGAACAAACACTCCAGTTATAACTGCGTGTGAAGTACTAGCATTGCAATCAGCTAATTGCTTGTTTAGCTCTCGGTTTTGGTAATAGATTAATTAATATTTCGGCTACATTCAATCTTCAAAAGAACTAGCTTCTGTGCAGAGCCAATGGCCCCAATTTATTCCGCATGCCAAATCTACGTGTTCTGCCTGAGTATTTTTTCCCTTTTCTTCCTCAGGGAAGTCTTGGACCTCTACGACCATTGAAAAAGGTCCCATTTTTGATACATTAGATGACACAAAAATCATTTTGGGCAATAGTTAAGTTGCTTTGACCTCACTTAAAATATTTCGGCCATTTATTTTATGGGAGTTTTTTGGCAACTAAATTTTTGCTAATTGCTACATTCAACAAAATTTTCTAAATCCTTCCTAGATTTATTCCCACAAATTGGACATTACTGAGGTTGCAGACTTAACATAAAAATGAAAAGTACTAACATCCATGTGGTGTAGAGCTCCTTTACTAAATTATGTCTTTAAGTAATTATTTTGAATTTTCATAAGTCTAGAGCAACTTTTTGGATGTCTGAGGCTGTGCCCTTGGTAATCGTGGTCGAGTGTTCTTTCTCGTGTTTCTGCACTATCTCTGTTAATTTATGGATGTATTTTCCTGCCTGCATCCTTTTTTGCAAAAATGCGTTTCACTTTTAATTCTAATCATACCCAATATGTCGCCAAACTTCATTAATCCTTTCTCTTCGTTGCAGTAAACCTCATTTCTCTAATAGTAGATTTTGTATGGCCAAGCAACGTCATTTTGGCTGCTTTCTTTCTCTTTTGCACATTTAGTAGCCTTTTTGTTGCATTTTTTCCACTTTAGGATCTTATCGAGTCGTTTCTAAAGCTTCGTCTACGAGCTGCGTGTATTGACTCGTTGTCAGAATACACGCCCACTAATTTTGTTTCGAGTAAGAACACCTTTGATGTTCTCTTTTGTTACAGTGCTCTCTTCATTAACGTCAGAAACAGATGTGCTTTTTGTGCTTTATTCTGGCTTCAAAGGCAGCATATAATGTTCGAGCAAACTGTCTTTTTCAGGGCCCAGTATTGTGTCTGTCCCTCTGCGGTCATCGTTGCTGTATGAACCATATCACCAACTCCTTAACCTATCATACGGTAATCATTGTTGCTATTTAAATCGTCTTTCTTTTCCACCAGTGTGCTTCAATTTTCTTTTCGTAGACTCTTCGGCCAAAAATCCACGCTGCTGGAATGTGGTGTATAAAAAGCGTGCAGCTGACTGGGAATTCGTCTCTTTTTCCACCTCTTTTAAGGGACTTGTTGTTCGAGTGGAACTTCACAAACTCCCTCCCCCGAATGAGTAAGGTTTGACCATGGAAAAGTATCTATTTCTACTTTTACAAGGTGATATATTAGTGCTTCCTCCATTTTTCTAGTGCAGAGGCTGTGGTAGTGTATTGTGAACCGAGGGTTGCTCTGGAGCGCGAGAAGTTTCTAATCCACGAAATCCTTCAAACAGGCAAATTCATTTCCGACATCATCTTTCCTGCTATTGAGGAGGAACTGAAAGATTCGAAAATATTACCGTATGAAGATGTTTCCAAGGCCAATTGACGTTTGTTTTTTAACAGAGAATCGACGATAATGTGGCTATGTGGCTTTTGTCTACCTCTTTAGTTGTTCAACTATTCAAATTGACGATTTAAGGAATAATGGTGTTTTTAACCTTGATAATGTTGATATCGTCCAGATGGTATCTGTGACTATTGCTTTGCTCGGACAGTAACTTCTTGCCATTATTTCGGATCTAATAACTACAAATTTTTGATGGAAAATGTTAGAATTCCAACCGCACTGTGACTGTGATCAGTAACTAGGGTTGCGTCAGTGCAAGATGCATAGCTATCTGAAATGTGCTCTTGATCGAAATTCTTTGGGGATATTTGAAGTGCTGCCGTTTCTGTTTTGGTATTACTCCATTCTGATGGCCTCCTGTAGTTTTTTTAGCCTTTGATGTCACTCATTGACTGTCTTTGTTACCATTCAAAGTGGGATTCATTTTTCGGTTTGTGGAAATCGAGCGCATCGTGGAATCTAACGGTCTGGGTGTCCGCTCTGCCATAGCTAACTTACTTCTGTCACTTTAAATTTCCCTTCGAAGTCGTTTAAAGTGAATTAAAATGCTCTGCAGGTCTGTCATTGTGCCAATGCTTGCACAATTTCCAAATTGAGCAACTCATCCACTGGACAGATGGTATTGTCATTCTCAGACTGCGGCCGTTTAACATCCACTTGGTTGCTTTGAACTCAACCTATCCGCTTGTGACGTGCGTTTGGAAGCAAGCAGTTGTCATAACCTGCCTGACGACTGACATGCGGCGTAATCGCAGTTGCAGATGGGAAAGTTGGAGCCGGCAACGCATTGATGGAATGACAAATTGGAGGGACTCATGAGTTATTATAACTCTGCTTCTCGACTTTGGAACATTTAATGCAAGAAGAACCAGTTCTGCTTTCTCCTTTATTGTCTAAATTGTATGCGCTAGTTGTTAGTGTACCGCTTGGTTTTGGTATAGGGGCAACTCAGTGTCTCCGCGCTTGTACCTCCTCCGGCCAGCCGACCGACCGACCGACCCGGCCTAGGGGCCGCACTTTTAGCCTATGAGCTCTCCTCTAGGTTGACTACGCATAAACTGCCTTAGCTGTATGTCCTATTTTGGTCTTCGGAGAGGTCTTGGGTCGCTACATCAAGGCACCTTTTGGAATAATTACCGTGGTGTCCCCCTCCCATTTTGGAAATGTAAAGTGTATCTGGAACCCTTTCGCTAATTTAGCTAATAAAATTATGAAGTGGAAGGCCATTGATATCACATATTTCTCAAACACAACTGACAGTGTTCCAAGTTGCCTAGTCTTTTGGCCCACTTTTGACGCAAACTTTTTCGACGCCAGTAGCAGTGGGATGAGGGTGGCATAGTTCTTTATCAGACATGGCAAACAAGCCTTTGTGGCTAAAAGTTGTTGATGCAGGAAGAAAGCAGTGTGTCTCAACCCAGTAATAAGGTCATGTAAGTATCAGAGATTCCAATAAAGCACTGTATCGATTTTCGGGTCTAAGGAAACCCAATTGATGATACAGGTGTCACTCCCATTGTCAAATAAGCAAGGCAAGCATTGTCGACAAGAGAGAATACAAAATTAAAAAGTGCTACAAAAGTTCCAAAAGTTTCATTAAACAAAGAGTAACAGTTGTAAGATGTTGTGAGAAGATTCTAGGGGAACCATAAAAGGCAAATATTTTGCACAAGGAGTACTAAGTGAACCCTATTTCTTTCCAAAGGAACAAAAATCAGTAACACTATGCAAGCTTGTATTCGATTAATATTTTAGCTACCTGTGCAGTTAATCAAAGGGGGACATCAATCTCAACAAATTGCACTACCACGTTGCGTCATGATATCCTGACTGGGCCAGTTGCACAGTGTTTGCATTAAGCTAACCTTATACAAATTTTAGCAGCATTTTAGCTCTACTATTACGGTTCGCTACAAACAAGGTCTACCTATTGTTCAATTCATGCACGAATGGAATGATGCCTTCGTCTTAGCGATGTTGGTAATAATGACCTTGCGTATGTGCCGTCCAGCCCATTATAATTAGATCTGTCTAGTCACTAGCTGCGGGTTTCTGATGCCGCTGACATATGGAATTGACGAAGAAGATGAGGAACTGTCAGTTGACGTTGTCCAATTAAACAATGTTGTGTTGGCTATGCGGCCACTTATTAAGAAAGCAAGAGTTTTAGTTCTCCGTGAGCTGGCATCTTGCATAAAACGACAAAAATTGAAGCAATCCAAGGCACCTGAGAATAAAGGAAAACGCTTAGGTCGTAAAATTGTCAACAAACTAGCAGAAATTCGGCTTTTGAAAGCGTTAAACGACATTAAATTATGCAAGCTAGTTTTGGCGAACGCAAATCCTCACGATCTGGCAAGTGTATTCGCTTTTGTGAAACAGTTTGTGCTTAGTGAACAAAACACTCATGTAGGTCCCTTGTGTTTATAGCTAGAAAAAGGAGGAGAAGGTTTGACGAAACAGGATCGCATAGTCATTCGCCTTGCCGCTCGACCCGAAATTGCTGAGTTCGTAAGCAACTTCCGTACGAAACACAGTGATTGGCCAACTCTGGTGCAATACCTGTTGTACAAAAACACCTCGGGAAAGTGGAAAACGCCGGAGCAGAAAAGAAAGACTAAGAAACGCCGAAAAGGCGATCTCCCTTTCCCTTTGGTCGAACAGAAAGATATCATGGACAATCAAACTGCCTCTAGCATTAAGCAGTGCGTTTAATCAGTTAAAATATATTTTTCTATTGACTTTAACGTGTCTTTAGTTATCAGCCTTACTTTGTCTGTTTTATATTGAAATAGTACTTTGCCTTTGTTGCGTATTGAGGATGGTTTATTGCAGCAGTTCCTAAAGCACGCAAAGTTTGCCTTACTTTAGCACTGCTTGAGTGGATGTCGACGTTGTGCGCTCTCTTCAGTATTTAACGAGTTGAACCCTAGGCTTCTTATGCCCACATTATTCCCCCTTCCTTCCATTGACTTGGTCCTGGTGTCTGGTAAATTTAGTGTTTTATTTTACCAGGTTGTTTAAAAGTCTCGAGAGTTTTCGCTATAGCTTGTAAGCATTAATATTTTCACTTTAGGTTTAAAGCCTTTAAGGAGGAAAATGACCGGAAGTTGATAGCAGCCCAGAGGCGACTTTTGCGTGAAGAAGCAGAAGAAGAAGGCAAAAAATTGGAGATTGGGGATTATAGCAAGGCGGAGGATGCCCACAGTATTCAGTACGATAACCCCGAAATGAAGGCTTTTATCGGCGAGCTGATTGCTAAGATGGACAGCGGTGAGGATATTGATGAATACCTGGTGCCTGGTGGTGGTAATGGAGATAGTAAACTTCTGGTTGGAGCCATGAAAGCTGGGACTGGAGATGGTTCAATGCTGCAGGCAGATGGAGCAATGAATTTGGCTGCTTCAACAAAGGGTAGGGATCATAAGGTGAAAAAGATGGAAAAACAAAAGGTGGAGGTTGTTACGACTTCAAAATCTGTAAGCCGATTGAGTTGCTTGTTTTTTGCATCGAAGACTTTGCATATTCTTTGTTTCGGTTATAATTGGGGGAGGAAAAGTGGGATTCGATCTTCCTCTCGGCTGCCCTTACAGTTGGGCGGAAAACGTTTGTCCTGCACCAGAGATGGTACGGATAAGATATGCATCAGAAGCAGAAGTGAACCTTTTTCAGCATGCGATCCCGGCACGAAAATGTGGTCACTATCGAGTGGATTCATAGTCGCAAACATTTTTACTAGTGTGAAGTGTATGGAGCCCTCAAAATGTCCACTCCGCTACATCCACCACCGAGGGTCTTGAAGAAGACCAGTTTTAGAATAGGCTTTGGAGAATTTCGGCGTGAGGCGTAAACCTGCCCATTTTGCGGTCTGTGGCAGCTTTATATTCGGTAAAGTGTGTGTGTCAGATGGCGATCTAAGGACAGCTGGTACCGCGTCAAATTGCGTGCGGAGAAAGTGCTTAATAAATCGGGTGGTCCACTTATTAATTTATCAGTAGCACCTCTTTCGCGCTATTTACTGGTGTCTTGGCAGTGGTAAAATTCTTTCGCTATCAAATCCCTGAGTTAGAGCATTACATTTACATTTGTTTACCAAAAAACGATGTTTATTGATGCCTTAACATGCTTTTGCACTTTCTAGACGGAGAAGGAAACACTTGGACCCCGCGATTTGCCTCGAAAGCAAAAGCACAAGACGGAAGGTCAGGAAGCTATGACTTCACCCTTAAATTCTGTAAGTTATTTGCACTGATCTAATATCGATTCGTCGTGGAAGCGTTGCTGTAGAACTTTATTTACATCTTATTTACGCCCAATTATTTATACTTAATTTCTTAATAGCATATCAATAGAAGCACGGGTATACAAGTTTTGCTGGTCGAAATCCCAGTTCGCTTATCACCTATGCACAATTTTTTTGTCTGAACTTAGTTACGAGTCTGGAATTTTGCTTTTCCTGATTACTATATATGAATCGTGTCATATACTTATTTCCGCACAAGTAGTATTTGGTGCACCTATTGGACATAAGTCTGGCACTTTAGTCGCTGATTCGCATTTTTCTATTAATTAATTGCGCTTTTAAATAATATAATTTGGCAATCCTGGTTAGGTTCAGGTTAAGCTCTATGGTGCTCATTTAAACGTCTCTCAGCGATTCATTTTTTCCAAGCGAATACCGACAGCGAGTTCACTTTATTACCAGCAAAACAACAATCACATGCCTTTTTGCGTCAGTGTTGATGCAACGAGATTTTTTCGTCATTCACCCGCGCATCCAGACCGTGTCACGTGGAGTGGGGTCATTCAGGCATTTTCCTCCAGCGCCATGGGTTTGTGGTGACATCAAACTTCTTTCTGTGCCTAAATTTGGCGTCGCAAATGCACGACCTATCCCCTCTACCCGTTTTATCGAGGCGCAAAAGGCAAATCGGATGCTCCTGCTCCGAGGGCACTAAAAGGTGTTAGCAACAACCGGACTACTCGGGCTGGTAGTGGTTGGAGTAGTTACACCACTCCAGGGTGATCGTGTTTAGGTCTAACTGCTCCACTTTTACTGGTGAAGAGGTAGGCGACCGAGTACTTGTGGAATCGGGCTAACGCCTCGTCTGTGAAGAAGTAAAACTTGTCCGAATTCAACGGATTAGTGGAGTTCTCTGGAGGGCCTACAGCCAAAGGTGGTGATTAGAGACGAGTTCAAAGTCTAGGTTCGTGATCTCTGCATGAAAAATTTTTACCAAGAAATATTTTGCATCGGCATTCGTTGAACCTTGTTGCCACGATGGTGGACGATGACGAGGTTGTGCATTCGTTCGCCGAGCTAATCTCCACGGTTTTCTCGCGGGGCGAGAGGTCCGGTTGCAACCGTGAACTCTTTAATTATGAAATTCACTCTCTCACGCATTCACCGCGTGCGGAAGTAACGAAGTTGTGTCAATTTACAAAGTTTTTTTCTCAAGCAAAAAACCGCGGTTTATCAGTTTAACCACCAGGTCGCTTGTTGGTGTGATGTGCTGTCCTGCGAGGTCGGTTCGTTGTCACGGCCCTGTGTGTGGCAGACCGTCAGGTGCTCTGATGCACTGGTTCATGCGGGTTTTTTTTTTCGTTCAAAAAAGAATGTTTGCTTAAAAAATGAGAAAAAAAAGTGGGATTCTATTCAACTCTTTACTTTTTGGAAGTGGATCGTCAATTTTTGGTAAAAACATGAACGGATTAAGTCAAACTTGGCGCCTCACTGTGGCAGGCAGAGGGTGGATGTACAAATGATAAAAAGGCTCACTTTAGACGACCCATTCAGCTCTCTGTCGATGAAGTTCCAGATCCCACGTCTACTGTGTAAACACCTGCTTGATCCACCTCACCTTGCCTCCTTTCACAGAAGGCCGATGCCAACGATGTGATCCACGAGATCATCGTTGAACAGGTCGCCGAAGATGGCTTCAACCAGGAGGATGGGGATGACATTCTTGGTCGAGACGACGTCGAGATGAAAAAGGAGGTGAGCTCAACCACCCTTTTTGTTGCTTGTTGTCTTGATGATGGAGGAACAGAGGCCCTCCAGTACCAGTATTCACCACAATTCAACCAATTCCCCTGTTATTTCCAAATTCCTTTGGAAGTGTTTTAAATTGACCCTGACTAGGAATAATGTTGACCTCGATAGTTTGATCCGAGGTCGTAAGACTCCCAAACTGCGTTTTCGAGTCAGTTTAGTGACCTACACAGCCTTTTATCGTCTATGTGATGCAGGAAACGGATGTAACGCCTCACCTTCTGCCATGAACTCTCTGTGCTGGTGTTGAAAGCGAACGACAGCTGCCATAGGCGAAGCTTGAAAAGCAGTTGATCAACAATTTTCTCCTTTTTCTGATGGCCTTTGTGCATACCACTTAGTGCTGGTGCGCTGATGAAGCAATCCAACGCCATCCAGGAGGCAATGGACTCACGTAGCTCCCTACTCCTGAACGCGGCTGAAGCGCGCGCAGATGGTTGCCAGGCGACAGTCACCAATCGCCACTCTCCGATAGGACGCATTGGCATAAGGTTGTAAACAAGTTATTTCTCCATTCCAGCTTCGAGAAAGGAGAGCCAAGCCCGAAGGCGACGCTACCCACAGAGGGACGACCCAGCAGCGACACCACCACACCTTTAGGCGCGGCCGCGGTAACCCCTACAACCGCCATGGCCCAGTTCCGAGGCGGAGAGCCCCGGGCACACCCGAGGCTCCGCTGCATCCCTCGTGGGCAGCCAAGCGAGAACAAAAGGCACTCCATTCCCTCAGGACAAAAGCTCTCCCGAGTGGGACCAGGATTGTTTTTAATGATGAGTAGACTCAGAGAGAGGCACATCAAACGTGTAAATAAAGACCCTGCATAAACTTCTACGGCCTTGTCCTGCCCATCAGTATGAGATGCACCAGTCCATATAAAACGACAGCCATGTAGTAGCGAACATCGACGCAAGCGCAGAGAAGAATGGGAAAATCCGGAAGCATTAAACTATCTATTGCCCTTCATAAGCTAAGACACAAAACCGGATGGATTATGCGATTCAAAAATGGGGCAAGAGTGTTAGGTGTGAATGCAGACAGAAAGTGACAACTAACACCAGTCAATGGTAAGGAGTCTTTAACAATGCATCAGGACGCCGCAATCGTCACTTCGAACCGGTTCAGAAGGGGACCGAGTTCTCCAAACGTTCGTTCATAGGTTTCTTGTTCTTGTAGCTATTGTAGTGGATCAGCATCTTCTTGATCTCACCGATAGCCTTACCGGGGTTCAAACCCTGATGAAAAAAAATTACCGAGGCTGTCACTCACCCAGAGCTTTCAGATGGAACGCTATAAACAGGACCAAAAGCCTACCTTTGGACATGTCTCAGTACAGTTCATGATGGTATGGCAACGGTAAGTGGACCACTTATTCTGCATCTGCTCCAAACGGTCAAAGGTATAGTCATCGCGAGAATCAATCATCCAACGATAGGCTTGTTGTAGCACCGCAGGACCGAGATACTTGTCAGAGTTCCACCAGTAGGAGGGACACGAAGCGGAACAACAGAGACAGAGAATGCACTCGTACAATCCATCTATCTTTTCCCGATCCTTGATGGACTGCATGAAGACCTTCTCACCGACTTGTTCTTCACTGAATTCCTTCTTCTTCAGGTAGGGTTCGATCCAGCGGTACTGAGCGTAGAAGTTTGCCATATCGGGTACCAAGTCCTTCACTACGTACATGTGTGGGAGAGGGTAGATTTTGGTGACTTTATTATCTTTGGGAATAGCGCAGAGACAGGCCAGACGGTTACGACCATTGATGTTCATTGAGCAGGAACCGCAGATACCCTCACGGCAGGAACGACGGAAAGTTAGGGTGGGGTCCTGATCGGATTTGATTTTGATTAGAGCGTCAAGCATCATTGGACCACAATCACTCGTATCGACTTCGAAGGTCTGCATGTACGGCTTCTGGTCAGGCTTGTCGGGATTCTAAAATTCAGTGAGAAACAATATAAAACCTCGAAATACCAAGAGCAACGACAGAGCAAAGGTTCCACCACTTACTAAGCATACCCAGAAAGAAAATACCAGTCCGAATTACGGATGCTAGGGACTTACGTAACGGTAAATAGAGAACTTCTTCATGACAGGACCGGTACTGGCGTACCTGGCTGTCTGTCCGAGGATACATGCGGAGCGGGTCGAAAGGCAGAGAACGGAATTCATTCTCCTGGCGAAAATGAAAGCAACTTCGCCCCGACACCACAATGGATTCAAACAAGTCTTTAGGATGTGTTTAAAAATTTAGCACCCCTATTCCGCTTGAAAGGTGAAACCAAAACAAAAGAAATCATGCAATGATTTTACTTGACACTTGGGTGTTTTCTATCCTTTTTTGCTGTATCATATAATGGACTACAAGAACTCAATTTATACTCAGCCAAATAAAAACTAACAATTTTAAACTTATTTTATTCATTTTAGGCTACTTTTAGCAACAAGTTTTGCTTTGGATTGTTTTTTATGGAAGAAAACTGGTAAATTACGGCACCTCCCTGAATCTAATAAATTTTACTTTAGGCAATGGCTATTTATACAACCACATTTGTGCACAAATTTGAACACAAGACCAGGCAATGTCGCGAACCCTCCCCAAAGTCCTAATAAGCCAGAAACTCACTTGGAAAATGTTTTCCTTGTACACATAAATTTGGGGCGAGGACTAGTAAATGTGAAGAAACATGACCCAGACCGGAAGTACTTTGATACTTTGATTGTTTAGTTAATATCTCCTTTTGACTACACGAACTCTTCAGACTCGGCCGTTGCACCTTTGCTTGGCGGCACGGCCTGCTCGACATATGACCACCCCCTCTTATCGTCGGCAGTATGTTTTCTGTTCGCGTACCATGACTTCTTTTGACTCAGGGTGTTACAGCATAACTTTTAATAAGACTTTAGTGTGCCCGCAGTTCAACAATAACAATAGTCCACAAGACATGCATTCTCGGACAGACATTCTTCAGCTTGTTAAACACGACATTGTATTTCTAGTTTCACAAATAATATTTACCGATACAAATCGTGAGTGCAGACGTGGAATAAGGAATAGGCAGTAATATGTAATTCTACCAGTTTGATGGAAAAAATGACAAATGAATATTTCGGAATTTCCACACTCCCTCACATCCGCCGTGGGATTCTAATCCTTCGATATGAAAGCTTGATGTCGCACGGATCAGAGAGGTGGCCAAGTTTTATGGGCAATGGACACGTAGTTGTGCTCTCTCAGTCACGAGGCTTCTCCAACACCTTCACCTCTTCCCTAACAGGTGTACTGGAGTAGTCATGTGCCACACAGCTTCCGTGTTCTTTTGACCACCATCAGGCATTAGGTCTTGGCTTGTTATACTTGATTGTCCTCTCCTGTTAACTTGATCAGCTCCTCTTCGTATTCAGACCGTCGAATTGTCTTTAAATGCGTTCCTGATTAGTTGCCGGCAGAATGAGTTACGGTACCTCAAGTAATTTGTTGGTGAATAGGTTTGTACTACTCGAAAGGGTACCTACAGTATTTATTGCAATATCCACTTCTTCTGCAACACAATAAACCCTAAATGTTTACTCACAAGGTTGAAAGCTGGCCATATGTCGCCCTTCAATCGTGACACGTGCTCTCGTGCCTTGTGATTCCACGCTTCAGCGATTGGGAGGGCGATATAACCCAGTACCCTCATTCCCAGGGGTCGGAAATAAAGACTTTATCCAGTAAAAAAGTTGGTGAATGTATGCCCTGCAACTTTATACACGAGGAGGCACCAATCTAGTCAGAAATCCCTATCCTGCGGCTCAAATTACTTGAGGCGTCCAATTCAAGTGCGACCCGTTCTCTTGAATTGTCACCTTCTTTGAGGTCGACCGGATGCCTTTAAGGTCCAGAAATTTTTACATGAGTTCCCAATATTTGACATTCGTGTTCACAGCCCTGTTGGTTGAGACTGTCTGTGATCGGTAAGGCATCAACTACACCAACGCCTACTCTCCCTCCATGGGCACCCGCTGTCGTAATCCGAAATGGGAAAATTGCCTTGCGAGGTGGAGTCTTCTGAATGTGTTCAAGGCTAGCTGTAGAGATTGCTCTTTTTCTCAAATGTAGGTAAATTTAGTGAGGAAGTACTAAAGGAATGCCCTAATGAAGATTTGAGTAACTACTAAATGCATGGATGAGCGCTCCAATTCGAGCCCAGTGTAATAGGACCACATCATCCGAAGGCGATTCAGGACCATCCAGAGACACGTCGAGGCTATTACTTTTGCGATTCTTCCGCCACGGTTCACTAAGTTCTTACAGAAATATGCTATTCATCACGTCCTCGGAAGAGTCAATCTGCTTTAGCCTGCCCACCTCCTTTCCCATTTAGTGCGATAAAGTCGATGCTGTTAGAGAATCTTGACCGATGAACGGTCAATGTTTTTTTTCTAGTTTTAACTAAATAAACACTGTCATGTGATGCCTGAAGGGCTTGACCATGGTGAAACTGCCCACCTATCCCACTTAGTACTGGCGTAGGCGATGATTCGACCTTGACCTCACCCGACCATCTGTGGGAACATAACACCTGCAGTTGTTTTGATGAGGTCAACTTACAGATTTTAACCCAAAATAGCTGGTGCTTGAGCCAGTGAGGAGCGCAGCGTTTGCCCCGACTCCTTGAATGCTCCATCGGCTTATCCAGTGGACTTATCCTCTTGGAAAGTAGAAGCATGCAAAGTCCAATAAGCCACGGAATTCCGTCGGTCAAGTCCTGGCTTACTGCTTGCAGGCTTTCACCACCGCGGTCCGGTTTGGCGAAAGACAATGCGCCCAAACAAAACTTCCGGAGAGTTGCGAAAACTGGCATTCCGTTGAGTTCACTTACAAGGCTGCATTTTGTGAGATCTTTTCACAAGTCGTTGAAGGCGTTCTCTTCTTCGTGACGTCAAAGAGTGTTGGATAACTGTCGACTTTTAAAGATCTGCTTCTTCCATATCCTCTTGTTAATATCTCAATCTTGATTCCAACATGAGGAACCACCTCGATCGGTGTAGAAAGTGCCCTCGGTGTCCAGCTTTCTCTGATACACGCAGGGACGAGGACTTCCACCTTTTTCTTCACGAGAATAATCTGTGGGCTCTCCGGTAAAGGAACCAAAAAGTCTTGGTCATATCAGAGCCAAAAGTTAAATCGTCACCAAGGGCTTGAAGAAACAAGTAAGAGCCAGCATCATGGAGGCACGGTAGTGACGAAGTTGGGGCAAGAAGTAGACGTCCTCCATGGTATGACGGTGCATTTGGTCGGTCATGGGTTTGGGTGAAATGCGGTTTCATAGCCATCACCTTGAGCTTTTCTGCTAAGAAACTTACCAACTCGGAGGAAGAAGTGGTGTATGCATAGCGGAGCTTGGACTTCACAATGTGTAGGCTGGTTCTACGTCTAAAATGGACAAGTATACGCCCTTTGGCTCTAATCGGTTGGGGAACGAGAAGTCCCGTAGGCTGTTGGGAAGGCCCCTTCCTCTCTCTAACTACGATAGAGATTATCGCCGACTACCAACAAGTCAGGCCAGTCTTGTAAAGCGCTTCATGAAATTCGTTTCAGGGGTTAGCTCGACTTTCGACGCAGGAGATAAAGTATTATTGGGTGCTGCGCGTAAGATCTGGCAGGATTTTTATGTTGACGATAAAATGAGAGGTCAATTAAGGGACCCTCCAGCTATCGGTGATGCAACCAGAGTAGAAACGCTGGTGTTTCCTCCAGAATGACTGATCAGTCGACGATAATGAGGTTTGACCAAATGCTCCACTTGCAAAATAGAGGGTGCACCCCAGGCAAATACGCACTATATTCCCATTGAGGAAGGAAAAAATGGGGTCTTGTATATTATATCAATAGGGTAGTAACCAAAACGGGTTTAAAACAGACAAGACCACCATCAATTTGTAACGGAGTCCAACAACCCACTGGCTCTCAAGGGACCAAAATACAAGAGTGAATGGATCAAGAGATAAAAAAGAACAACAGTCTGGAGAATGCATCACAACGCCAGGAACCGCTACCATTAACAGCCCGAGTCAGTTCAGGTGGGGTCGGCGTTCTCCAAACGGTCGTTCATGGGCTTCTTGTTCTTGTAGCTACTGTAGTAGATCAACATCTTCTTGATCTCAGCGATGGCCCTGCCGGGATTTAGACCCTGATAAAACAAGCAAACAAAGTTGTCACTGCCCTTGGACCTCAGGATGGAGGGCTAAAGCAGGGATTAAAATGCTACCTTTGGACACGTTTGTGTACAGTTCATAATGGTGTGGCAACGGTAAACAGACCACTTGTTCTGCAGCTGCTCCAGACGCTCAAAGGTAAAATCGTCTCGGGAATCCACTATCCAACGGTAGGCGTGTAGCAACGTAGCCGGACCGAGGTACTTGTCCGAATTCCACCAGTAAGAGGGGCAAGCAGCCGAACAACAGAAGCAGAGAATGCACGCTTGCAAGTTATCGAGCTTTTTGCTATCTTTAAGGGACTGCGAAAAGAACTTCTCACCGATTTGTTCGTCAGTAAATTCCTTCTTTTTAAGGTAGGGCTCAATCCAACGGAACTGGGAGTAAAAGTTCGCAATATCGACTACCAAGTCCTTCACGACATAAGAGTGTGGAAGAGGATAAATTTTGGTGATTTTATTGTTCTTCGGAATAGCGTAGATACAAGCCAGATGATTACGGCCATCGATGTTCATGGCGCAGGAGCCGCAGATGCCCTCACGGCAGGAACGACGGAATGTGAGGGCTGGGTCACATTCTGCTTTGATTTTGATCAAAGCATCTAGAACCATTGGACCACAGTCACTTGTATCAATCTCAAAAGTCTGCATATAGGGCTTTTGGTCGGGTTTGTCGGGATTCTAAGGTACAAGGTCACAAAAACAACTAGTTGGTAGAGAAATGATTCCACCAAATAATTTATGCAAGTTTGGATTGCAGGTGTCAGTCAGAAAAACAAATGCCCAGAACTTACATATCGGTAAATAGAAAACTTTTTCATGACTTGACCATTACTAGCGTACCTAGCTGTCTTTATGAGAACGGATTCGAAGCGAAGCGAGAGGGAGCAAACGCAATTCATGTTCCCACCACAAATGATAGGAGCTTCACGCCCTTGAAACGGGAGATGTGGACAGATTAAAAAAGTTTTTATTAAAACTTGTTTAAGGCATCAGTTGCTTTATTCAGTTGTTATCAAAATCCTAATTTAGCCAACTTTTTTATGGGGGTAGTGGCAGGAGGTCTAGAAGTTAAGATGCACATTCTTACCCTGAGTGGGTAAATTTGCCACAGTCTCGAGTTGGGCCAACCCCTTGCTTGTCACCTAAAAGACACTTTGGTGTAAACACTTAAATTTCCAAAAATTAAAAGCCAGCTAAGCTCTCAAATGAAAAAAGTTGGCAACTTTCCCTTTTATATCTTTTATTCTCTCGTTCGTTTGACAACAGGCGAACAAGCAAACTGTGTTTTGCCTGTTTAGAACTCTACGATAAAATTTTAAAGGCAATATTTGGCACCTATACTGTTAATATTAATGATAATGATGCCACGACCGAGAGACGACAATTATTTGAATGTGTTGCCTCCTGGGTGCTGTTTCGTGCGCATGAGGTTTTTTCGCAGGTTTGAAATTTCACTTTAATTATTTTTCGAGATTGTTCTTCCATTTAATCCTTTGGCTACACATAACATTTTTTTGCTCGATTGCTGCTGCTGGTCGTCAGAGGGAACCTGATGACCACATTAAACCTCCAGCATGGTCCTTTCGCGATCGTAATGCTTTCGTTAAAAGGTAGAAGTTCCCAATTTTTTACAAAAATTAGGTGGAGGGAAGGTGTGCGATATTTATATCTATCTGATCAGAGTCATTGGCCAGAGATATTGAAGTTGCACAAAACATCCTCTTCGGTATGTATAAGCATGTTATTTTGCTTATTTTTTTATGGAAAATGCTTGTTTTTTTGTACTGTAGCATATGATTTTACGTGAATCTGAAAGCAGCATCGACTCTTGTTAAATTAATAAAAAGATCTATTGCAAATTTCATCTTTCATAGCCGCTTTCGAGCTGTTAATCCTATCATTTATTTGCTTTTTTATTACTTTCTTTTTGAAAGCCTGTGATCGTGGAGGGGAAACCGGCTTTGGGTGATATCTCTGCACCAAAAGTTGTATTAACATCTCAACCGTCTCCTCCCAGAGATGAGGTTGTTTTGCCTCCAATGGACGAGTCTGTTGTGAACGAGCTTTCTCAACCTAACATGCCCACCTTTCAGGAGTTCCATGCCAAAGTTCTTGGTGAAAATCAGAACAAACGCCGCCTTGGTTGGTGCTCATTTCACACTAATATGAACTCTTTCAGATTCATCCGACGATCCTGGTAGCTTACTCTCGGGTCAGTCAGTCAAAGACAGTCTTGGAAGCACTACACACTCCAATCTCTCGAAACACCCCAATCGAAACGACGAGGGTATTACGCATACACCCTCTGCCCCCCGCCACAACAAACACTGAAGCCGCCACCTCAATCCTATCCCCTCCCGGCACTGACACCTCCGCGACCGCTTCTGAGACTATATACCCATCAAATGTGTTGGAGAATGGAGGAAATGGAGGAGCTACTAGTAAACGCGGGCACGACACTGCCCAGGAACTTCGAGTTATGCGAAATATTGCAGCGTCGGAGTGTGGGGCTAAGCTTCTTCAAGCCAGTCCCTCTGCCAAGCATGCGCCTGCGATTCTGGTGGACAATAATGATGAGTATATGAACCAGCCTTGCTCATCAGAGAAGTGGTATGTTGTATTTACTGCCTTTGGAGACGATAAACAGTGTAAAAGTATTGTTTTCTGTTCTTCAACTTACGAGCGAACGTTTGAACTAGTTACAAGCGTCTGAGCCGTCGCCCGTACCAATTACTTTTTGGAGGGATTATGAGGAAAATCTTATTAACATTGGGCTTGTGTATGTCAAGCTGGTAAGAAGCAGTAAATGGATAGGTGCCTAAAGCAGGTGTACCAAGATTTTTCATTCTTTTATACCCTAAAATTCACTACTTATGATTTCTGCGGTCCCCTTTTATTTGTATTTAAGGCAGGGCTCAACATGTAATGGGGTTTTTGAATTCATGGACCTGTATAATTGGTGAGATGTTTGTTATGTGGCAAATTTTGCTTTTTTATACGCAAGTGTTCATAAATCGAAAAAGGACAGCGCAAATTGTATCACTGGTAGATTTTGTAACACCACGAAAACACGATTTTTAAACGAAGCAATGGGCTGTACTTTTGTTTGCTTTTGGCACATTCGTCGATGTCTGTATCAGGGATTTCAACCGTCAAGGGTTTTGCCGGCTTCCGTAGCTCCTTCAAACATGCCAGTGGTGCTCAATTCGCAGCAGACTTTACCTCTAGACCGATAAAGGGGCATTTCTTTGGCACTAACACCCACAGCAGGAGTAAGTAGGGAATGTGCCTTGTAGTCGCTCGTAGCAGTCTGTGAATGTCGTGTTTCTGGTGGGCTAGCCGCCACACTATACGGGGTATGGGAGAATGCTTTGAGTCAGTGCAGTGCTTTGACAAATGGTTCTAGTCAATCTTCACCAGAGGTCAGCTTGTGAATTCAGGCTTCATAAAGTGACAGCTGTCTGATTTACCACTTTACTATGCTCAAAGGAGCAGTAGCAGCATCGTGTCTTTCTGATCCCAAATGGTATAACTCGTTTTTCTATTTTCCCGTGGTGGCCAAAATGGGGGATGCTTTTGTACCTCCGTGGGGTAGTTGGGTTCTTTATACCCTCATCGCGGCAGAGAGAAGGTGGCTCACGTGCCGGAAGAACAGCTAGGCAACGGTCATATTTTTAGCGAAATTTTTTATTCATTGCATTCAGGAAGAGTGAAAGATGACCATAAAGTATCACTCAGTACCACTTCTTGATGCATGCGAAATTGATGGTGTCGTTGATGTCGCTCCTAAGGGGTATATGTACCTTATTTTGTTCCCGAATCATTGTTTCATTAAGACCTATATCCAAGTAATTTTTTTTCCTTTGCTTGGCCTGCAATGTAGGTTCATCATCGAGACATGCGAACCGGTGCAACTAGGCATCATTCAAATCGCCAACTACGAGCTCTTCTCGTCGCGCTGCAAGACCTTCCGCGTCTTCGTCAGTGACCGGTAAGTCCTACTCCCTCTGGGTTCTTAAGATGGGTAAAAAAAAATTAAACCCCTTTTTGGGTAAAAATGCTGTGGTTGTTCATTTATAACTGCTCTATGCATTTGTTCCTATCTGAATGGGAGGTACTGTAGAGGAATACTAGACATAGCTGATATTTTGTTCTGTCTTGAAATTGTTGTCTCCAGTGCTCTCAACTTTTGTCGACCTCTCTACAGTACTGGATACACCGTAATATTTTCCTACCTCAGTAAGAGGGAGATGATGCAGGAATTCACAATTCGGTTGCCCTTTTTTGGGCATTGGTCAAGACAACGTGTTTTTTATAGTGCGTATGTGTGACAGGCTTTTTCACTGGATTCCCTCATGGTGCTAAGTAATCTTCACGCCTGGCGGTAACAGTGACAGCCTCTGTCCACGCCTTTTGTAGCGTCTTTTCTACGGAGTGATTGGAGAAGGCAGCGCTTGCTTAATGACTAATGTAAAACACCGCCAAGTTGCTCTTTATCCCATCCCCTACCGCTCCTCTTATTTTAAACGCCTTTTAATCCTCCACGTTGAGGAAGAGTTTTTACCCTTGAGGATAATGGCGAACCATGTGTGGTGTTGTCTCAACACAAGTAATAGCACTGGAGAGTAATACTTGTAGATAAACCTGAAATAATGCCTGAGGTACCACTTTATCATCAAAATAGTGCGTGGGTGTGTTCACGTGTCTGTGGTGGTTTGCAGAAAGCAATTATTCACTTGCTGAAGGCAAAAACAAAAACAACAACAACAACGACAAGAACTTCGCTTAAGATCTATCTTTTCAACGCAGCTAAGTGTAACTGGAGTCGGTTTCCTGAGAAACACTTAGGATTTTTGAATCAGTTTGAGGGGTAAATCCTGCACCTTCAAGACAGGCCGCACGTCTAGGCTTGGAAAAATTTTATGCCACACTTGAGGATGGGCGGGGTATCAACTGTCTTTCTCCAAGTGATGACTGTAACCTTTTCTTGACATCGGCATCAGCCAGTCACAGAAGAGGTGGTCGGGAAGGAAGTGGGAATTGAAAGTGGCTAGGACTCTGCTTTTTTGCCTCCGGCGATGGCATTTTTATGCGAATGAAATTCGCAGGCAACCTCTTGTCCAGGTGTCGGATGTTAATGCCCACTTCAGAGTTATGAAAGTGGTACTGTCCTCTTTGATAGCGCTATATTGTGGGCTGTCACTCATTGTTAAGACCGCAGTTAACACTGCGAGAATATTTTGGATGTACCCCCTGTCTTCGGACCTTCTTCTCTTTGTCTTTCACCTCGAGTCGTGCTGACGTGCCCCCTATTCAACATAAGTTACCCAAGGGAAAAATTAAAGACATAATATTCTCCTCACCTACGTTACCCATCACTTCGAGGACTGAACTGTGAGTGGATGCATCAAAAGGGGGTTTTTTTTGTCTTTTGGAGTGAAAATTGGTGATCCACTCACCCCTTGTCTCGACCACTAAATGCTCTTTGAACAGGCGATCTGGATTAATTTGAAATACCAAGGTAACGAGGAAGAACGTCCGGCATATTTTATGGTGTATGACACCAAGTGGACGGCTGCATCCTGTCTTTTGCCATTTTGATGTCTTCCAATCGAAGTGAAGGGCTACGAACGGAATTCCAAGCTTGGTTACAATGCATGCAGTAGCTGGTAGTACAATGTGGAAGGCATTAAGTAATGCCGCCTGAGGCACGACTGCATTCTGGAAGGTCAGCCTCTTTCACTTGCTTCTCTTTGCTAAATTTTGTACTTTTATTTTCTGTGGGAGGAGTGGGATGGCCGGGGATTGGCTGTTCCCTTTGGAAGCGCTGGGATACATCTGTCACGTGTGCTGACGATTCCATCTACCCTTTCGCATTGCCCCAAATTGTCTTTGGCAGGGCGAATTAGAATAATTGTATTTATGTGGCCCTCCACAGCGTCAACAACTGGCGGTTGATTGTGTTAAAAGCCACTTTTGATCTGTCACATAACGAGGCGGCGATCAAGGGGGCGAATTTTCACTTAACACAGGAGGTTTAACTTCACTGAACAATCAATCTGCGGGTTTCAATCAATCCTTCCATCTTGGGAATCTTTCGACCTTCCCCACTTTGTCAAAGTAGGGGAGCGAGTGGTGGTAAATATCTTGTTGGTGGGTGACGGGAATCCGCGACAAATTTTTTTAACTCAAGCACTTAAACATTCCTCTTTTGAATGACTACACTGACTTTTGACAACACATGTCAAGCTTAAAGGCCAAGGTGTGGGTCTGATCGCATCCACCTCCTGTTTGAACCCGAATTCATGGCTATTGGAAATGTTAAATAATTGTTTGACAATCGTTCTGCTGTCATAAACCTGTCAAGGGACCACGTTCGGTTTAAATTCTATCAGGTCGCAAAAATGTCTCCCTGTGTTGCAGGTACCCGGCAAAGCAATGGGAGCAGATCGGAATTTTCCGAGGCCAGGACGTGAAGGGCTTGCAGACCTTCCACATTGGCGGCTCCGCAACCGGTCGTCTTATCAAATACGTCAAAGTGAGTCTTGTGCCTCCACTGGGGTCCATGCTTGAAGTAGTCCTATCGCGAGATTTGATCGTTCTCTTTCGTTCTCTTGCACCTAGTTCGAGATGCTTGATCACTATGGGAATGAACACTTTTGCCCGATCACTATGGTGCGTCTCTTCGGTCTCAGTTCGGATGAGATGGACGAGCCTGAACTCCCGCCGCCGCCGTTATCTCGTTCCTCGCCTTCCGGTGACAGTGGAACCACCCTCGGGGAGTCGGAGGATGGGCTCGATGGTAGGTGTGCTTACCTGCTTGGCCTTCTGATTGATTTTCTTCCCCATTTCTCTGTTCATTTTCTGTCACTCCACCTTCCTGTCCGGTCATCAGTTCATTTGCTGATCCGTTCATCCACGCACCTCTGATCTACCTATCTCCAAGTCTATTAGCTTACCTTCTAACCTAACTCAGCCACATTTGATGAGCTATGCTGGCTTAATCAAACTCTCTTCTATCCATCCGTCCATTCATCCCGTATTCATCCGACCATCTATCCATCAATAAGTCTAATAACCCTGTCACGAGAATCTTCCCTCCACACTTGCTGAGCTGTGTTGGATTAGTCAACCACCCATCCTTTATCTATTTATTCCTCAGTCCCTTCACTTTTTCACCCACTTTAAATCTAGCCTTTCATCCACCCTCCGTCTGTCCGTCATTTATTCATCCCTCCTTACATTCTTCGGCCATCCATGCCGCCGTCCGTTTATATAATTTTCTAAGTAACATTTTGGCTACTTATCTGCCCATTAAACTTTGTCCGAACGCTTCAGCATGATTGTGTTGAAGGACTAGATGACTGCCTCTTTTGGTTCCTCCTTTATTTTAGGTAATACCAACACTTCACTGTTGAACAAAACACACCTCGAGGTGTCCATGGAGCCTCAATCGTCGGCGGTGACCAGCACTACTACCTCAAAAAAACCATCAGGAAAGAAGAAATTCAAGAGAAACAAGATGTCGAAAACGGAACTTGATTCTCCGGTTAATAGTAGCTCGGTTGAGGAAGGTAAACTGTGGATGCTGTTGATGTTGATGATGCTTTCTCGGTTCTGTATTTCAGATCCACTTGAATGTGCACTTTCCTTCCTTTTTCTAGATGGAAGTGAGGACTGTGCAAAGGGTGAGAGGGATGAAGTGAGGGCAACGGCTCACGCCTTTAAATCAACCGGTCTATGGCAACATGCAGCGCGTAAGTCGGTGAACGTCAAATGTACCTCCCTTTCCAAAGTATTCGGTTGGAAGGAAGAGAAACCCACTTTCCCCACCTAGCTGAGCTAATTTGCCTCCTCAATGGGTGGAAGTTTAAGGCAAGTTTACTCTCAACTTGCCACCATCTACTTTCTCTCTCCCCTTCAACCTGCGAATTAGTCGGGGCTTCAGGAAAGTTTCGATGAATAATTTACCTGGAAATTGAGATTAAAATCAGACTGTTTTTAAGGTAATGCAAGTGGGGTTAGGTGGATACACCTACGTCGCCTTCATGTCAGTTGGCATGAGGTTAATCGTTTCACCTCTTTGGTACAAAGTCACTGAATCGGGGATAGGTGATATATAGATAGATGTAACCTCCTTCCACCCCCATTAGCCGTTATTGCTACGTACTCTGCGATCACTAACGCCCCTAGTCTATCATTCATGGATTTCGGAGGAATCTTTCGTGTATCTGAATTGGCTGTGAAGTAGCAGGAGGTTTTGAACACACCTTCAATCGTTCCAGTTCGTCGTCGTCACCTTAATCTTAGTTCTAGCCGTCTGGAATCGCACTTTATCCACCAACTTTGTGGTGGTTAAAAGAATTTTGTTTCTGCAATGTTGGCTGAAGTAAACTAAAACACCTTTCTTTTCAACTCCTCAAGGCTTCATTTTGGGCGTTCTGCAAAGCGCTATCGGTGGTGAGAGCTCGTTGATGCTTCCACAAGGCGAGTTTATGAGCCCACTTTCTTGATATATGTGTGTGTATGTGGATTTTGTTATGATCATCCTTCTATCCTCACAAGAGCTGTCTGCACCTTCTTCCCACCCCCTCCACATATCCTAGTTCCTGGAACGTGGTATATGGGCAGTCCCCTCTGACGCAGGTGAGGGCTAAAGCTGGGGAATTGGATGATGGATAAATGCAAGAATGCGTCTTGGGTATGTGCATGAGGGATCTGTGACAGAATTTTTCTCCGCATCCTCCTTCTCTCTCCCTCTGTGTGTGCGCTTTCGCTTTACACTATTCTACCGTAACCACCCTTTCAGTGTACGCCTTCGTGCCAATCATGAGGTCCACCTGCTGTTTAAGCCATCATCGTTATGTAGTCTTATGATGCCTCTTAAGGCTCTCGGAGGCTGGTGTATGAGTAAGGCTGTCTGGAGCAGATAGTTGTATAGCTGGATGGATGGAGAACTTCAAGGCAAGAGAACAAGTGGGTGAATCAGTGAAAGGATCCTTTTACGGATCTGTCAATGGGTAGTCTGGAGGAGGAGAGTTGAGTGAACACAGCGGTGGAAGGATCGGTTAATGATTGAATAAAAGGATGTCAGTTTCATTTCTGGTGAATTAGTGATTCCCTTCCCTTTCGTCTGTATCCACAGAAATGCCTTGTGTATTTGTCTTGTGGGAATTTATTTGGGGTTTCTATTAACCCCCCTCCCTTCACTGTTTGGTAACTCCATTGACTACCATCACTCTCTTCTAGCCTCTGGGTGCTGTTGTACTGGTAACTCCAACACGAAAGCAGCCACACGTCTACTTGGCTTCCCCTGTTGTCAAAATGCTCAATCGTTTACTTAATCACATACCGAATATTTGGTTTCAAAGCTGTGAGTTGGGAAGATGACCGAAGTTATCTCGTTTGCATCTACGCACCTCTGATCTACCTATCTCCAAGTCTATTAGCTTACCTTCTAACCTAACCCAGCCACATTTGATGAGCTATGCTGGCTTAGTCAAACTCTCTTCTATCCATCCGAGGCGAGGTAGG